TTGCAGGCTTGCTTTTGACGCCTGGCTCTGCATCAGCAAGGTCTCCCAAAGCCCGGAGCAGCGGCTGGGGATACGGGGCATCTCAGCCGCTCCGTCCCAAAAGTAAAGAAAAACTTTTGGGACTCCGCAGAGAGTTCTACCCACCCCTGCCGGCTCTATCTCTGTTTCCTCATGGAAACGGAGTTTTTTCGAGCCGCCATTCCGTTGTGAAGGCGGCTCTGACAGGCGATGGAAGCTGATGATCCCAAAGGAACGTCTGCAGCGACAAACAGCAAACCGGAAGTCAGGGTGCCATCTTACTGATGTTCTACTGGATGTCCTGGGGCTTATTCAGAACAATGGATCCTATGTGTTCTGAAATAATACTTAAAGGATATTATGGATATTATGACAAAAAATAATAACTAATCAAGAAAATATTTGCAGGCCTCTTTCTTCCAAAAGTCCTTTAAATATTTGTCTACTCAATTTTATAACATCTTTGTTTCTTTTTCTCATTGAGTTGCATCATATTCTGAGGACTGTCTCATTTAACAATAATGCTGGGGAGCCTCTTCCTTTGATGAAAGTGGGCAATTGGTGTCAGGATTTGACATAATCAACTGGATCACCTTGCCAAACCAGTCCCTTCTTAGAGTCAAAGTTGGAAGTTTAGAGGTACATACATCTGAAAAATGAAATTCACCATTCAGGAGAAGGCCATTGTTTGGCCCACCAGTTTTAATCAGGTAAACTGGAGGAATCTGTTGTGTGATTGTGCCTTCAAATACAACATTAATATAAGCAAAGATTCCAAGATCACATTCTATCAGAGAAGACCCCAAACTCTTAAGCTCTTTAGCTTCCTTCACAAAGTCATAGATTGTTCATCAAACCCCAAATATTTATTACATGAAATTAATTCCCTTCACAGACAACATGAAAAACAAAGCTTACAACAAGAAGCTTCTTCTAGCAGAAATCCCCAAGTTCTTCAGCTCTTTGGCTTCCTTCATGAAGTGTTAGATTGTTCACCAAACTCCAAATGTTTATTATATCAATTTAAGAAATAGTACTTTAACTAATATTACACTCATGACAACAGCAACAACAATGGAAAGTCTCATAAATCTTTGGAAGTCTGTCCTGACCACTCTGAAGGACACTATTCTTTACTTTGCCAAAGTAAAGTATGCCAAATAAGTAAACCAAGTCTTACGTTTGTTTGCTATATATGTTTTTTTATCTATACCGTATTTTTTGGAGTATAAGACGCACCTTTTTCCCCCCTAAAAGGGGGTGAAAATTTAGGTGCATCTTATACACCGATTGTAGCCCTGCCCACCCACTCCCCCCACCCTTTGGCCTCTGCCTCCCAGCAGTGAACTCCTTACAGCAAAAGCAAGAAAAAGCAGCTCCTTTCAGATTCAGCACAGCCTAATTAGCACAAGTTGATTGGATCGGCCTCCCAACTCTCAATGCTTTGCTCTCAGCTGTTTTGCGCAGGCCTCTGCTGCTTGCTGCAAGAAGAAAAAATTGCTGGAGTAGATTTTTTTTTTCCCTTGTGCTAATCAAGCTATGCTGAAAATGAAAACGAAAGAAAGCAGCCTGTTTGCTGTTTGCTGCAACGAGGCAAAATTTGCTCAGAGGCAGAGGCAGAAGGAGATTCCTTTTTCTTCTTTTCCTCACCAAAAAAGGTAGGCACGTCTTATAGTCTGGTGCGTCTTATACTCCGAAAAATACGGTAATTACCATCTTTCCTATAGATTTGTGGAATAATAAAATACTGCTGCTCTTTGAGGCAAATATATATACATACATATATATATATATACCAGAGTTCAGCATTCTTCTTTTCTCTGTTGTCCTTTCAGGTTCAGCCCCTTTCAGTGTGCAATGATCACTGTCTTTCAGGTCAAAGAAAAACTGTGAAAGAAGGGAAACTGTTCTGTTGCTATGATTGTCTTCCATGTGCAGAAGAAAAGATTTCAGCACAAGAGGGTAAGATGTGCATCAATAGAATTTGTTGATTGAATAAGATATAATGTGTTGGTTGGTTAATTTCTGTCTCTATTATTCAAGCTTCTTTGCCTCCCATTTCACTTGAAAATTAAAATTTTCACACCTTAGAATATGACGGACACGTTTCCACTACATTCTAATACATAAAGTCTCAGATGTGTAATTTTGCATTCAGTTGTGCAATATAAACAATGTATTATGTTCTTTTTCAGATGCAGATGACTGTGTCCCATGTCCAAGAGATCAGTATGCAAATTTCCATCAAAATGCATGCATTGTTAAAGAGATCTCCTTCTTATCTTACCAAGACATTTTAGGAATCACATCTTTGGTGTTTGCATTCTCCTTTGCTTTCATGACAGTACTTGTGCTTGCTATCTTCATTAAGCACAATGACACACCTATTGTCAAAGCCAACAACCAGAGCCTTTCCTACCTTCTCCTCACCTCTCTTCTCTTTTCCTTCCTTTCTGCTTTCCTTTTCATTGGTCGGCCAACAGTACTGACATGTCTCCTTCGACAAGTTGCTTTTAGCTTCATATTTTCAATATCAATTTCTTGCGTGCTGGCCAAGACTATCATTGTAGTTCTTGCTTTCATGGCCACCAAACCAGGATCTGGAATAAGGAAATGGGTAGGAAACAGATTGGCTACTTCAATTGTCTTTTTTTGCTCCTTTCTTCAAGGTTCTCTTTGTGTCATTTGGCTGGCAACCTCTGCCCCATTTCCACATTTTGACATGTATTCCCTGCATAAAGAAATCATACTGGAATGTAATGAAGGGTCAACTTACATGTTTTACTGTGTTTTGGGCTTCATGAACATTCTTGCCCTAGTCAGTTTCATGGTTGCATACCTAGCTAGGAACTTGCCTGACACGTTTAATGAAGCCAAGTTCATCACCTTCAGCATGCTGATCTTCTGTAGTGTGTGGTTGTCTTTTTTCCCAGCCTATCTGAGCACCAAGGGCAAACACATGGTGGCTGTGGAAATCTTCTCCATCTTTGCCTCCAGCGCAGGGTTACTGGCTTGCATTTTTTTACCCAAATGTTATATTATTCTTTTCCAGCCTGAATTAAATAAAAGAGAACAGCTAGTGAGGAGGTAATAATATTTCCATGTTTTTATTTATCATTGCTGACAATTCAATGTGATAAGCAAGATGTTCAATTTGAAAATAAAGTTTATGAAAATATCTCAGTCTTATGGAAGTTCTTGCAATTTAGACATCCTCGGGTTAAGTGAAAGCATGTTATAGTTTAAGCTATTTGTGCTCTTTGTAAAAAAGAAATATTTTTTCTAATGTTTTTTATATTGAGAGTATAGCATACTTGTTCAAGGATGTTTTGTATCTGAAAAACAGAAAATGATCCTAAAGATTAATTTTAAGTTTAGTTTGCCTATTCTGTTCTTTTGGTCACATTATATCACAGAAATATCTGATGAAGATTTTGCTCTCTCTATACCACTATGTATATATCACCAATGTAAGATTATTCTTGTCCTTTAGTATTTGTTCTCTAGCCAGCAACTATCCAGGGAATGCAGAGAAGGTAGACAGATACTCTCCTATTTAATGTATTCATCAAGATAATATGAATATTGCATGTCAATAGAATGATGTCTAGTCCACTATACATTACAGAACTCTATACTTCATCAATTCATTTGAATTCTCCAGGGACTGGTAAAAGTAACATGAATGAGCCTTGGTACTACAGTGGTTTAAAGCACCCTGTTATTAACACAGCTGCCTGCAATTTACTGCTGGTTCGAATCTCTGCAAGGCTCAAGGTTGACTCAGCCTTCCATCCTTTCTAAGGTAGGTTAAATGAGAACCCAGTTTGTGGGGGCAATAAGCTGACTTTGTATAAATATACAAAAGTATGAAGGCTATTGCTTAACACACTGTAAGCCGCCCTGAGTCTCCGGAGAAGGGCGGCATATAAATCAAATTAAAAAAAAGAAAAAAAAAAAGAATGAATCCTATTCTTCAAAAGGGAAAGATTTTCTACTGCTGCAATAAATTCAGTTTGGCTGCATGATAGGCCAAAATGCTGTTGCCAAAATGATACTTGGCTCTGGTAACTACCAGAGAGGGTGTCAATGACCGAGACAGCATGCTGTTCAACATTGCCACAACATGCCATTTCAGAGTTGCCACACATGTGCAGGGAGAGCGGGGTGCATGCGGGCACAGATGGGTATCAGGTGATGGGACTCATGCTGGGAGAGGTGCCTGGAAGGCAAGCCAGATGCAGTCTGTTAAGAAACCATCTAGACCTGAAGAGTGCTTGCTGGAGCCGGCCAGGGAGCAACCGGGCTCGAACAGTACTTGCTGGAGCTGGTCCAAAAAAGTCCAAAACAGATTCTTCATAAACAGTCCTTTGGCCTTATCACCAACCTTTGTCTCCTTTGGCACCCTGCCAAAGGCTTTTCTTGGCAAAACTCCATGAAGTTCAGAAGCAAGAGACGCTGACAAGAAACAAATGTAGCAACGTTGCTTTCCCACAAAGATCCCAAGAGCCGTTGCTGCTCTTTTAAGCCTTCTGGGAGGGGCCAATCATCTCCTGCCTTACTCCTGAGTCGTCCTTTTTGTTTTAGTTGCTCTTGCTTTCTGGCAGCTCTGTATATTTATACAAAGTCAGCTTATTGCCCCCACAACTGGGTCCTCATTTTCAGGGACTTAGGGTTTACCACAGGGGCGCTTGGTCATCAGCGACCCCTGGTTCATTGGATGGGCTCGGGCGAGGGTTTTGAGACCTTCCTCGCCCCTGGGCATTCCTGGAGTCGGAAACGGCAACAGAGAGCTGTAGCCGTGCCATTCGGACGCTGTCGAGAGCGAAGACATGGTGGCTTTTGGCGGCAGCTAGTTTCGGTCTGTGGAGCTCGGAGCGAGGGTTTTGGGACCTCCCTCGCCCCTGGACGTGCTTGGAGTCAGTGGCGATGGCGGAGAGCTGTGGCCGCGCCGCCACTCAGATGTTGCCGAGAGTGACGTTATGGTGGTTTGTCGGCAGCGGCTTGTCGGTAGTGGCAGCGGCGAAGGTGAAGGCGAAGGTGGCAGTGTGGTGGTGAGTGGCAGGCAGCCTGTTGAATTCCGTCTGCCCCACTCGGAAACCTCCTCAGTGGCCCTTTGAGGTAGAGGAGAGGAGAGAAGGAAAGGCGGGAAAGAAGGGTGGGGGAATACGAAAAGTCGAGGGATTAACAGCACCTCAAGACAAACAGTTAAGAAGGCTATAACAGCGGGAAAGTAAAAACTTAGGTGAGAAAAGGAAATGGGGAATTAGTGCATTTGATATCTGTAAATATTAACGGTTTAAATGCTCCTAATAAATGTAGTAGGATTTTGAATAAATTAAGAAAGGCTAAAGATATTGTCTGCATGCAGGAGACTCATATAAAAAAAAATCAAAACCATTTGTTAGAATGCCAGGCGTTGGGTAAAACTTATACCTCATTAGCAGGTCAAAAAAAAAAAAAGAGGGATAGTGGTATATGTACGACATCATTTGAAATCCCAACAGGTTTTTGCTGACCAGGAAGGCCGGGTTCTCATGCTCGAAATAGAAATTGCCCAGTGGAAGTCTTTATTGGTTTGTATTTATGCCCCTAATGACAATCAGAGGACTTTTTATCAAAAGTTATACGTTAAATTGGGGAAACTGGAATATGAACATGTCTGTCTAGTGGGGAATTTCAATGCTGTAATGGATAGAATGCAGGATTATGTCCCAGGAAACATACAAGGAAGGTTAAAGGATATTAAGAAAACATTACCAAAAATATGTAATGATTTAAGGGAGGAATTTGGATTACAGGATATATGGAGGTTGAGAAATCCCAATAAAAATCAATATACTTATTTCTCTCCCAGACACTACTCGTGGACCCGAATAGATATGATATGGATGTCTCTTGAGTTGAGGGGGCTGGTCTCGGAAGTGGAAATAGGGCCCAACCAGTGGGCGGATCATAACCCGCTAATGGTAACTTGGAAGATCCAACATTGTAGGAAGAGTAGATGGAGAATGAATATAGGTATTCTGAAAGATGAAGAATTCATGAGTAAATTTAAGAAGGAGTTATATCTTTTTTTTCCAGGAAAATAAGAAAGAGGATACTTCAATATACAATACATGGGATACGGTTAAGGCAGTAATGAGGGGATGGCTAATCAAATATATGATTGACAAACGTAGGGCGGGTAAGAAACACTGAGACAACCTCTTGAATAAATTACAACGGGTGGAAGAAAGGATGCAAAATGGATTAACCCAGACAACATTGATAGAGGAAAGGGAGTACTGGCAACACCAGATTAAATTATTAGATCAAGAGGAATTAGCAAATAAAATAAAGTGGACTAAACAAAATTTTTTTGAAAGGGCTAATAAAACAGGAAAATGGTTGTCTTACCGGCTTAGAAAGGAGCAGGAGCAATGGAGAATAGAAGGGCTGAAAGATGTAATTGGGAATCTTCATTGTACTAAGGAAGGCAAGAGAATGGTAGCTCAGGACTTTTTCACACAGCTTTATCAGAAAGGAGAGGAAAATATCTGTGAAATTCGGAAATATTTGGAAAAGACAGACTTGCCTAAAGTCTCGGAAACAATGAAGGAAATTCTTAATGCGGAATTTACGATGGAGGAAGTAGAAACAGTTATGAAAGCACAGGCGAATGGCAAAACCCCGGGTAGAGATGGCCTTCCAGTTGAATTATACAAAATAGTGTTTGACGTGATAGGAAGACACATGACGGATTTATTCAATGCTGTTATGAAAGAGGCTCAGGTTCCAGTATCTTGGACTGAGGATTATATTACTATTATCCCAAAAGAAGGAACTGATTTATCTCTTATTAAGAACTATAGACCAATATCATTACTAAACTCCGATTATAAGATATTTGCGGGGGTTCTTGCAGCTAGGCTTAGCTGCTTCCTTAACCAATTTATTCATTCAGACCAAAACGGCTTCCTTCCTAATAGATATCTACGAGATAATCTTAGAATTATCATGAATACACTAGAATTTTTTGAAAATCGCCCGGATAAACAATTAGCTTTAATTTTTGTTGACGCCCAAAAGGCGTTTGACAGAATCAGTTGGGAATTTATGATTTCTCAATTGGAATATATGGAGTTTGGTGGGAATTTTATTCTGGCAATTCGAGCTATCTACCGGGAGCAGACTGCAAGAGTTCTCATAGATGGAGAGGAGACGGAGAGAATTCAAATTTGTAGAGGTACAAGACAGGGATGTCCCCTTTCCCCATTGCTATTTGTATTAACTTTAGAGCCCCTGCTTAGAGAAGTGAGAGGAAACACGGAAGTAAGAGGAATGAAGATTAGGCAGGAGGAAGTTAAAGTTCAGGCTTATGCAGATGATCTTGTATTTATCTTGGATCAACCACTGGACTCGGGCCTGAAATTATTATGCTTGATTAGAGAGTATGGGAAGGTAGCGGGGTTAAAGATGAATGAAGAAAAAACTAAAATCCTAGTGAAAAATATGACTCAGATGCAAAGGCAACAGCTGGAGCAGTTAATGGGTTTAAGAATAACAAATAAAATTAAGTATCTGGGTATATGGTTGACCGCCAAATGTTCCTCCATAAAGGAGGATAACTATCTTCCTCTTTACATCCAGATGCTCAGAGACTTAGAAAGATGAAAAAATCTCCAGCTATTAATTTTGGGAAGGGTGGCAACCATTAAGACGTGTGTGTTACCCAAATGGTTATTTCTATTCCAAACAGCCCCGGTAAGGTTGAATAAAGAGTTTTTTAAAAATTTGGATAGGAGTATATCTAAATTTATCTGGCAGGGAAAGAGGCCGCAGATTAGACTTAAAATGTTACAAGAACCCAAAAATAGAGGAGGATTTGGACTCCCAAATTGGGAGCTCTATCACCAAGCAGTGAACTTGATTTGGGTGAAAGAATGGATGGTCCTACAAAAGAGATGACTTTTGACATTTGAGGGAGCCGGTCTTCAACATGGCTGGCACTATTTTCTATGGCCGGGAGCATCCAGCCGTCCTAGACACTTTGATGATCACTATTTACATAGGACGCTTGGGTACACTTGGGAAAAGGTTAGAAGAAGAGTATATTCAAAAGTTCCATGTTGGATTTCAGCGCAGGAAGCTCAGATTTACCTGACATTGTATAAAGGGGAGAAAACCTTTACGTATGAAGGTTTCTTGGATGTTCAGGATAATCCGAAGTCACGAGAATTATTAACTCTTCAAGGATATAAGATAAACTGGTGGTCTTATTCTCAAGTGCACTCCAGGTATAAAAAAGATTTACATAGTGAAGGAATCTACCGTAAAAGACAAGGAAACCTCCTCAGTGGCCCTTTGGAACCCGGAATGGTGGCGTTGGCATCAGCGGGGGTGGTGTGGTCGGCCCGGATATTAATTTGGGCCCTGGCACACCCCATTGAAGTACTGACTGTCCGCGTCTCAGAACTGACATAGAAAAGGGAGGAGAAGCCTGAACTTTTGCCTGCTAAATCACTTTGAAGATTCGGTCTCCTCAGAGATGGGGAGGGGGAGACATTCCTGTGACCTGACGAAAAAGGAATCAGGAAAATGACTTGGAAGATAGCCAATGAGAAGCAGAGAATTGGGGATTGGAAAGGGAGGGCTTGGGGGGCAAAGGTCAGTACGTCTGTCAGGTTTCGATGCTATCTCAAAATAAATGAACTTCCAAATTGCCAATCTTTAAGGAAATTTTCTCTTTATTTGAGCACAGCAATCTGATCCTGACTCTTTTTGCAGTCAGAACTGACCTTTGCCCCCCAATCCCTCGGGCCGGTGGGCGACGGAGGGGTTTCCCCGTTGCATGGATACGAACCCTTTCTCTCCTCCTCCCTCCTGGGTACTGTATATGCCAAAAATGGGCTTATTAACTGCCCTTGACTGAAGGGGTTCTCTCTCCCCCCTTCCGTCTTTTTCCCCTTCCCTTTTCCATTGGGATTTACTCGGATACGATCTTCGAGTATAAGACTATGCCAAGGACTTCCATCTTTGCCCCTGGCGTGACTCACGGACTGACAGACTGATAGACTTCTCCCTCCGACCATGGGTCAGCCAAATGATGCAACTGCTGAGGAGCAGTTTTATTACATCATGAGGGGCAGTTTTATTACAACTGCTGAGGGGCAGTTTTATTACATCATGATTTTGCCATTGGGAGAAGTACTTTTTCAATCCATGGCTGCTTCAGGGTCCCGCCATGAGAGGGCGGGCCAGATGTCGTTCCCATTGGATGAAATTGTCATGACCCCCCTACTGTCGTGGGAGGACAGTAGATATACCAGTGGTACATAATGGAACAATGCCTCCATGCTACATCTTTTTTGAGACCCCTGATTATGCTCTGTGCCTCCATCGCTGCACTCAGAGATGTACACGACAGCGGATCTTCTTGCACTGCGAGATTCCCCCCTCTTGCTGATGTGGCCCTCCTCACTATCGAGGGCCCACCTCAATGATGGGTTCTGGGACCCAGAGAGGTGGCATGTGAAAACCAGGGGTTTGAGGGGTTTTTTATCAAAATTTTTAGTTAAACTTTTAAGGGGTCCCAGGGAGAGGGAGGGTCAGATTGGAATTCGGACTGTGGGTATGGGGGATAACCCACAAGGGGGAGGGTCGGGTCTGGCCATAAAGCGTGGTGTGGGGGGTGGGAGACCCGGGGTTGAGGGGGGGGTCAGAGCTCATCCAGATATTTATTATTTATTTATTTTATTTTATTAAATTTCTATACCGCCCTTCTCCTGAAGGACTCATGGCGGTGAACAGCCACGAGATAAAACACATAAATACAAAAATTTAAAATGAATTAAAAACAAATTAAATAATTTGGCTGAATTTAAAATATCCCATAATTTAAAACAATATGGATATGGGATCCTCCATATATCCGTGGGGAGCTCGTTCCAGATCGTAGGTGCCCCCACAGAGAAGGCTCTCCCCCTAGGAGCTGCCAGTTGACATTGTTTGGCCGACAGCACCCGGAGGAGCCCCTCTCTATGGGAGCGTACTGGCCAGTGGGAGGCTATTG